GCCCCCCCCCATCCCCGCCGCCAGGGCTGCGCCCCCCTCTTACAATGTCAGATAATTGCTGGTGCGAGGCCGTGAGGAGCCAGAGCCGATTCGGGGGAAGGAGGGGAGAGACGTAAATAACAATCCCTTCCCATTCAGCAGATATAGGTTACCCGATTTGCATATATGCTAATAACGCTGTAATTACCCTGCCGTTCTGGCCTGCGATCGAGTTCTATAAATACACACGGTAGCAGAGCCGGCCGGCCACGGCGCCCACATGGCAAAGTGTCCGTGAGCTGCGTGTGCACAGCCTCCCCGGGTGAGGACACACCCCTCACAGCTCCGAGGCCTTCCACCGACTGCAGCCTTCCTGCACTTGGAGGAGCAAAGAGGTGCCCGGATGAGAAAATGTGCCAGTATGTTTCATTCTGGGTATTAATATCATTATGAATAAGTTACTATTTTTAGGAAAATCGAAGATTTCCCAAAATTACCCAGTTAGTTATCGTTGCCCGAATGCCGTACCTCCTACAGGCCCACGCTGTGGGGTGCAGGTGGGGTGTGACAGGAAGAGCACGCCTGCATCTCCCAGGCCTGCGAGAGGAGATGGTTAGGAACGCGCTGTCTATGGGGGGAGAGAGGCGACTCCCCTGCCCCGAGTCCCCAAGTCCCCGAGTCCCCAAGTCCCCCCCACCTCCGCCCCCCAGCACATCCCCACTCCCGGGAGGGCTGGGGAAATGCTGGCGGAGCGGTGCCGATTTGGGGGTGATGGTGGCAGAAGTGGGGGAAGCTTGGAGGAACAGGAACGAGGCAATCCACAGCTGTCTGCTTTTAATTATAATTATCCCCTTTCGCTGCTTCCTGTCTGGCTAATGAGGGGGGGGTTCCTTTTTTCCTCTCCCTTTGCTCCCCCTCCCTCCTTTCCCTGGAACCGAGGGGTGGAGTGAGTTGGGGTCCTCCTCCCCTCCTCCCCCGGCCCCTGGTTACGGGGAGAAAGGCAGACTCCAGAGGCTGGTGACAGTACGAGGAGCTTTGAGGGAACAAAAGGACAGGTTTGGGTTGCTGGACACGTCCCAGGGTTGAAGAGACCCCTCCATTCCGCTGGCACCCCCCCATCAGCCCCCCGGCCCCCGAGACAAGGGACCAATGCCTGCAGCCGGTGAGAAAGGGGTGAGAGGGAGCCCTGGTCTGGAGGGGAGGGGTGGGGAAGGGTGGGGAGCTGGGGTGCAGACCTGGTCTCAAAGGAGCTTTATTTCTGAGCTAGTGAAGCAGATGTAATCAAGGGCAGAGCAAAATAATTGTGATGGGAGGAACGAGAGGAGGGGCGGGCCCAGGCCGGACTTGGGGGACTGGGCCAGGACACGGCTGAGGATGGGGGGCAGGGGCCCTAAGCGGGGTGGGGGGGTGGTTGCCTTCCCCCGCCTCCCCAAGGTCTTCCTACTTTGGGGTGGGGAAAGAGGGACCAGGTCTCCAGACCCTGCCCAAGCCCTGGGAATCCCTCTTTCAGACCATAGGGATGGCCGGGCCGGGAGGCGGCTGGGAAGGCACCGGGGAGCGAGAGCCCCCCCCACCCCGCCCAGCGAGGGAGGCGGTGCGGGGAGGGAGGCTGAAAGCCGCGGGGGAGGGTGAGAGCCGGAGCCGGCAGAGACTCAAGTGGCCTCCAGGTCTGTGGGACAAAAGTTGGAAGGAGATTTGTGTATGAGAGAGGAGGGGAGGGGGCCTTGGGGAAGGGGGGGCTTTGACAATGAACTTGAGACAAACTTCATTAGCATGCAGGCCTGCTGTCTGTCACGTCCAGCTCAGACTGAGTTCCCACGCAGGCCGGGGAGAGTGGGAGGGAGCAGAAGGGGGGCTGGGGGGGGCCGGAGGGAGGAAAGAGGCCCGACCGTTGACCATTGTGCCAGTCCGGCCCCAGCCTCCAGCGAACGTCAGGCCCCGGCCCTGGAAAGCAGCCCCCAGTGCGCTCCCCCCCCCTGAGAGCAGGATAATTTATCTCCCACTTTGAATGTGCGGCCCCTCCCCTCCCCTTCCCTGTGCAGATGCTGGAGGGCCGGCCGCACCGCCCCACCTGTCCCCCTCCAGCTCCGGCCTTGTCTTCCGATTGTCACCCTCTCCCTCACGAGTCAGACCTGGATTTAGTGTCAGTCCAGCTGACAGAGACGGGGGGTCGGGGAGGTTTGGGCAGAAGGGACCGGCGCGCCCCGACCTCCCAAGGGCAAGCCGGGTCCTTCGCTCTGCATCGGCCCCTCACCCCAACCCCGCTCTCACGGTCCCTGGCCACTCAGAGCTGGAGCGGGGCTGGGGAAAGGGGTCTCCGTGTGCCCCCTCTGGGGACGAGGGTGGCCCGGAGGAACAATAGCCGCCCTGGCCCCTCTCGCTGCTGCCTCAGGTTGGAAGAGGCGGTGGGAAGCGGTGGGACCCCCGTCCCGCAGAAGGAGGCTCGTGGGAGGGGGCTGTTGTTTTGGCGCTGGTGGTATCTCCAGACAGGGGCAGCACCCCCTTTTTGCTGCCTTTCCAGGGAGAGCAGCGAAAGAAAGAAAGAGGCATCGAAATTCCTGAATGGAGAGACAGCTGCTACGTCATCAGCAGAGCTGCCCCCTCCGCCCGCGGGAGGCTGGGAGCCGGCGGAGAGGCAGCCAGCGGCAGCGGCCGCCGCAGCCCGTCCTCATGGAAGCCCGGTGAGTGGCCATTTGGGAGAGTCTCAGCCCCCCAGACCGCTGGGCTGGGGTGGGAAGACAGCCCCTGAGATCAGTCAGGGCGCCCTAAGCTCCCTCCTTCGCCCATGGACTAATGGAGGCTGCACGACAATCTCAGGAAGGAAAGGCTGCTGGGAGGTTTAGGGGTGACCGAGGGGTGAGGCATGTGTGTGGAGGAGTAGTCGGCGGGCGGGGCTTCACGCCTGGCTCCCCGCATCTGCCAGGCCGCCCTCGGCCCCAGACAGCCTCTCGGTCCCCCTGCTTTCCCTCCCCGGCGGCCAACCCGAAGACAGGTCGCCAAGTTTGTCAGTGGGATTGGGGGTGGGGGGAGCCATAGGGTCGCGGTGCTACTGACCCTATTAATCCGGCCCTCCCTTCTCTCCACCGGCCACCACGGCCACGGCCAGCCTCTCCATGCTTGCGTGGGATGCTTGCGTGGAGGGCAGCTGGAGGGCAGGTCCCGGTGGGGACGTGGGGACGGGAGGGCAGAGACAGCGGGTCTGGGTTTGGGCTGCTGAGCTTCCCTCCCTCGCTCTCCTCCCCGAGATCCCGGGTGGGGGGGAGCACTGAGTCTGAGGGACCGGGGAGGTGGGGGAAGGGACGGCATTTCCAAAAAGGCGGAGACCAGAATTAGGGGCGAATCGAAAAACATCGTATAGGATCTGGATGAACTGCATTCCCTTCTCCCTGCTCCCCACAGCCGGCAGGTGGGGAAGGGGCTGGGGACGCTGAACGACAAGCTGGGTGTCAGGAGCCGACGCTTGGGTTCTGGAGGGGAGAGAACCTCACTCTAGCCCTCATCAGACCCCTCTGAAGGTAGCTCATCTGTTTTATTTCTTGCTTTTTTAAGACGAGCCAGAGGGTGTAGGAAAATGGAACTCTTCCCGCCCGTGGTCCCCCACATGGTGCTTTCGGGGAGCCTGGCTGGGGCCATGCTGGGCAGTGGAGGCTGGCGGCCAGCAGACTAGTTCTGGCACCCCAGAGGCCAGATTTCTGGGCGAGGCGGAGACTGCCAGCCACCGAGCATGCACACACGTGTTCCATGCCCCCCGGGCCATGTCCTGGCCGCCACGTCCCCCTGAGCGTTGTGTGTTTGGTGGGGGGAGGTGGCAGGGCAGAGACCAATTGTTCCAGGGTCCCCTGAGTCTGGTTTGGATGGAAGGAGGAGCCAGAGGTCCCCCTCGTGCATCTGCGCTTACCTTCTAGCGAGTCTGCAAGTTGGGGTGCGCCCCCTCCCCTCTTAGGTATGAAATGGAGGGGCCGGCCCAGCGGAGGCCGCGGGGCGGGTGGGTGTTCGTGGGCGGAGGAGTGCGGAGGCGCATGCGAGCACCCTCCGAGGAGTCGGGAGTCGGCCTCGCAGTCCAGGCTCTCGCTGGCCAGCGCCCTGCTTCTCTGCTTCCCTCCGCGTGTAGGCAGGCTATCCTCTGCGCTTTAAACAACAAAGAATTAGTTGTGGAACTGAGTTTGAGGTAGAATGATTCGCCAGCTTACGCATCACGCACACACACGCGCGCACACACACACACACACACACACACTCACCCCTGTTGGTGTTTTAGGAGCAGGTCACCGATGTCATGCGTGTCATTCCGCCAAGTCGTAATTTAGCCTGGAAGCAAAATGCTGGAAGGGGAGACGATAAAAGACTGAGACCGGTTTCCACACCCAACGTTAGAACAAACAGTAGCGACGACCGCTTTCTGTGCACGGCTGTCGTGTATGTGGGAGGATGAAGGGAGGGGGAGGGGGAGGTCGAGACCGGTGGGCAGCCACGGGTCCCTCTGCCCTGGTGTCACGTGAGGGGAGTCACGGCCGTTGGTGATGACAGAGGTGGGGAGAGCTGTGGCATCCTCACTGTGCGGCACGCTGCAGTTTACCGCGCAGCTAGATCTCAGCAGACAGAAGCCGGCCCCTCGCCCGGCCTTCCTGAGTGTGCTTCCTGGCAAGGCGGCCAGGAGCAGCAGGACTCTGCGCGGAGCTGTCCCCCGGGCAGGCGACTGCTCCCGCAGGTTTAGGTGGGGAGGGCCACAGCACGTCCCCGGGCTCAGTTCAAAGCCCTGGGCCCTAAGGTTGTGGGTGGAGGTGCAGGGAGGTGATGAGGGTGGGAATGGGTTAGTAGTCCAGGCAGATGGAGCTGGACAGCTCTCACACACATGCACGCACAGAGATGCACACATGCATGCACACAACACACGTGCACACGCGTGCACACGCTCATGCACACATACACACACGCACGCACACACACGCCGGCCAGGCCTTTCTCTCCGGCTCTCCCCCTGTGCGGCGGCCCCCACAGCCCCGAGCTCCGCCAGTGGGAGGGCAGGGCCTGGGCCGTGCAGGCCCCGAGAGAGACAGGGGCGCTGGGCGTTGGGGACAGAGGCTACTGCCCACTCAGCAGACTTAACCTTTGCCTTCTCCTCCTTGGCAGGAGCTGGGCACCCACGAAGAAGAGGCCTTGTTCGTTTCTGGTGGCATCGTAGGTGGCCGCCCCGGCTTCTGGGGTATTTGTTTCTCGTTCATTCCTTTCCGAGGGTGGCGTGGGTGTGGGAGGGGAGCGCAGCCGCCCGCCGGCTCCCACCCCTGGCTCTTTCGGCCGCCGCCCCGGCCCCATCGCAAGGTAGCAAGACCTGTGCAGCCACTGGTAATGGGGACGGGGCCAGGTGGCCGGAGATGAGGGGCTGCCCTGCGCCCAGCTCCGCGAGAAAGAAGCGGGGTTCGGGCCCTCTCCCCGCTCTCACGGGCTCCTGAGGGCAGGGACCGACGCCAGTGGACTCCGGAGGAGCGCGCATGCGGAGGAGAGCGGAGATGTCTGTCCGTGGCCCGCAGAGGCGGGAAAGGGCGGAGTGTGGGTTGCGGTGAGTGGGGACCTGGGGCGCTGAGGGCGCTGAATGGGCATGTGTGCCAGGGCGGTCCCCGCAAGGTCGGGAGGCGGAACCGCTGGAAGCATCCGTGGAGAAGCGCCCGCGCCGTAGGGCCCAGCTGCTGGTCGCGTGCGCACGCGCGTGTCTGCGTGCACAGGCCTCGTACGCGCGCGGTTTTGCCCCTCAGGGAGACCATTTGCTGGTAGCCGACCCTCTGCCATCTCTGTCACCCCCTCCCCCGACTTCCTAGGGCTCTCAGGCAAGTGAACAGTGCGAGGCTTCAGGGACAGGATTGGGCGCAGGCGGGGACGCAGTGCCTGGACAGGCCTTTCTCCGGCCTCTGGGCAGGAGAAAGAGTCCTGTGGGTGGAGTGGGTGGTCGTATCCCCAGGGACAGAATATTCCAGATCACGCCTCCATGCCCTCTAACCTCATTGGCCTATATGGAGATTTAAATATATATAATTTTTTCCCACCACTTCAGCGTGTTTAAATACCGGTTCTTATTTTTATTTGTTGCTGTCCCGTAGACAATGCGAATATTCTATAGCAGAGAATAATGTAGGATAACGTCTATCAGAACGATGCACAGGGGGACAGAGCAGACCTGGGGACCCGCCCTCCTCCAAATGCAGCTTTAATCTGCATCTTCAAGGCAAATTAACCTGATAATTGAAACAAAGAAAAAATTCGCTTTTTATTTAATTTCCTGAGTATTTCAAGAGAGCGGCTTAATGCCAAAGTGTATTTCGGGACCCGCATTAGAGAAATCTGTCCCAACGCTGCGTCCCACGGCACCATGGATCCATCCGCGGCCCCCTCCGGCGTTCAGACAGCGAGTGGCGCGCAGACCGGGGGGTGGGGACAGGGGCGGGGAGGGCGCTGGCCGAGGACGCCGGCTCCCAGGCTAACCCGACACTTACTGTCTCAGATCAGCAGCAGCGAGGCAGCCCCCCAGAACTTCCCTGGAAGGACGAGGGGTGGGGGCTGCAGACCAGCGTTCTATAGGATGCTGCAGGGCCTGGCCGCGTGCTAGAAGTAGTGGGCGTTTCTAGGGAGACGGGCTGCTGTGCCACGCACAAAGGGGACCGGCGCACCCTTTTCCCTCCAGCCCTCACGTCAGCCTCGGACGGGCCTGCCGTGTCTGACTTTAGACGGCAGAAGGGGCTGGTGAAGGAACTACTGCGTGGTCACTGCCAGAGGACACACAGTAGATACCGCTCCCCTTCCCCTCCCGCACCCATCACAGACCCCACGGGACACACACTTCGCCAGAGCCCTCCCCGCCCACCCATAAGGCGCCGGGGTCTCCCGGGCACCCGCACAGGCGCACAGGAACCTTCGTCCGCTCGTTAATGATGCGCATCCTCGTGCTTTAGGCATGTCAGAGGCCGCGGACCGGACCGGGCATCTGTGGGTTCGCCTCTGCCCGTGAGGGGCCCTCCCGCTTGCCGCCCCAAGTGGTTTCTGTTTTGAAACTGGAGCAGCTTGGCTTAGCTGCACACGCCGACCCCGCGAGCCTGGCGCGGACACTCGTCTGCCCGTCTGCCTACCGCTCCCTCTCCCCCGGAATGAGGACGGAGGCCCCTCCGCCTCGCCTCTGAGAGCAGGGCTGGGGGGAGGCCCAGACGAAAGCAAAAAGAAGGGCTCATCGTCAGGAACCTGGACAAAGAGGGGGCTCTACAGAGTTCCGGGACAACTCAGCCTGACCCCCCCCTTTCTTTCGTGGGGCCTCCTTAAATTCGGACACTCTGTTTAGGCCAAGTACCTGTGTAGAACCCAAAGCCACAGTGAGAGGCAGAGAGAGTTAGTTCTTTATTGAGCTAGTTGGCGAAACTTAGTTAGCCATTTCTCTCCTGACCCAGGCTCTGAGGCAGTCCAGCTGAACCTGAATTTGGCCAGTAGGGGTGGGAAGAGGGGTCTCTGCTGGGCAAGGAAACCTTCTTGTCCTCCCCCCTCCCCCACAAAAACACAGCAATGGCTGAAAGAGAGGTGAGGTTCATGCTCACCCCAGCTGCCTCTTGCTGTGCTGTCTGGATGGCCCTGGCCAGGGCCAGGGGCTGTGGAGATGACCTTGGGCCCCACGCAGGGCAGGAGACTTGGTTGGAAATTGGTGACA